GCTAATGTTCCATTTTTAATTCTGGGTTTTTTCCCTTGCCATACAAAATTAGAGAAGGCCTTATTGATCATTGTCAGCCATGCATTCGGGATTTCTAATGGAAGCATTCTGAACATATAAATCCATTTTGGCAAGACATATGATTTTAGAATATTTATTCTTCCTCCCCAAGATACTTCTAATTTTCTCCATTCTTTCAGATTCTTATTAGTTTCTTTTAGAAGATCCATAAAATTAATTCGCATGGTACTATCTACCTTTCTACAAATTTTAATTCCTAAATATAAAAACACTTTAGCTTTAGTAAAGCCATATGTTTCTTGATAGGAATTTATTTCTTGCTTTGATATATTGATATATATAGCACTTGATTTTGTTTTATTTAATTTATAGTTTGATACTACACTATATGTATCAATTTCTGACATTGCATTTAATAATGATGTAGAGTTACTCAAAAATAGAATAGTATCGTCAGCATATAGAGATATTTTCAATTCTTTCTGTTTTTCTTTAAATCCCTTAATGTTTTCATTATTTCTAATTCTGTTAGCTAAAACCTCTAATGTTAATATAAACAATAAGGGGGACAAAGGGCAGCCTTGTCTGGTCCCATTACTCAATTTAAACCAGTCGGAGCAAATGCCCGGACCGATTGTTCTCGCCGTTGGATCTTTGTATAGAGCCAAAATTGCATTAAGCAACCATCCCTGTATACCCACTTCTTCTAGGGTAAGCTTCATAAAGTCCGAGCTGACCCTGTCAAAGGCTTTTTCAGCGTCTAAAGACAGGATCAGCATGGGACTTTCTTTCTTTTGTGATATATCCAATACGTCAATCAAGCGTCTAATATTATTACTTGACATTCTGTCTGGAACGAAACCTGTTTGATCAGGATGGATTAACTGTTTTATAACTTCTTTTAATCTGCTAGCTATAATAGAAGAAAATATCTTAATATCTACATTTATTAATGATATTGGGCGATAGCTTTGTACTTTAGTTGGATCTTTCCCTGGTTTCAAAATAGGTAAAATATTTGCTTTAAGCATTTCATCTGGGAATCTGCCCTTTTTAACAGCAGAATTAAAAGTATTTTTTAATTGAATTGTCAGATGAGATTTCATTGTCTTATAGAATTTATTTCCAAATCCATCCGGACCTGGCGTTTTATAGGTTTCTAATCTGTCTATCATTATATTGATCTCTTCTTCCGTAATCTCTTTATTTAGATTATTTACCTGTGTCTCTGTTATTTTATTCAATTTTGCTGATCTAATATATTTTTTTATTATTTCTGAAGGAGTGATAACTGAAAGACTATATAGATTGGCATAGTACTCATTAAATGCTTTCCCTATCTGTTCTGGTAGAAGGGAGATGTTGTCGTTAAAGATTATTTTATCGACCTTATTGGTCGTATTTCTTTTTTTCAACATATTAGACATTATTTTATCAGCTCTGTTAGATTTATGGTAATATTTAACTTTAAGTTTATGCATATTTATTTTAATTTTTTCATAAGTTTTTTCCTGAATCTCAGATTTAATTTTCTCTATTTTTAACTGAGTATCCTTAGTTGGATTTTCGTTATTTTTTTTATTTAGTTTATATAATTCAATATAAAGATCTTGTATATTTGCACCTTTTTTTTTTTCTTTAATTTATTAAGCATTATGCAATGTCCCCTTATTACTGCTTTATATGAGCACCATAGAATGTCATTCTCCACAAGTCCATTATTATTTTCCTCAAAATAACAAAAGGTCATTTTATCTATATAGTCTTTATATTCCTTATTTGATAATAATGAATCATCTAACCTCCAGGTTGTAGTTTCATTACTCTTTGATTTATTACTGTTTAGTTCCAGACACACGCTATTATGATCTGACCATACTACTGGTTTAATTTCTATTTTATATGTTCTGTCTATTAGTTTTAAATCTCCAAATATAAGATCTATCCGCGAGTATGAATCATGGGGCCAGGAGTAAAACGTAAATTCTTTCGCTGCAGGATTGTTGAGTCTCCATATGTCAAATAGGCCTTCTCTTTTCATCAAATTATTAAAAGTCCTTGCATTTTTAAAAACTTGTTTTTCCCAAATCAGATGTTTTTCAGAGAACTTATCTAATAGGGGATCTTGTATACTATTAAAGTCCCCTGCATATATCTTTATTCCTACACCTACTTTCTCAACCTTATTAATTACTTTTCTCAATAGACATATGGGGTTTTTATTAGGCAGATAAATATTAATTAAAGTGAAGAGTTCCTCGTTAATTGTGGCTATTAAAATAATAAATCTTCCCTCCAAATCTGTTTCCATAAATTTTATATTTATTTTTAGATCTTTTGCAAAAAATATTGCAACTCCTCCCTTTTTCCCCTCCTCTCTAGAGGAACAGAATTTTAAAGGATAAAAACTGCTGGTCCATCTCTTTTCATCCTGTTTACGCCAACGTGTCTCTTGGACCATAGCAATTTGAACATGTTCCTTTTTTAAATATTCTTGAAAAGCTTGTCTTTTTTGCGGAATATTTAGGCCTTGAATATTTAACGTTATTATTTTAACCATTGTCATATATTATTTTCTTGTTTGGATAGTCTAGTGAACTCTCTAAAACAATAAAAAAATAAAAATAAAAAAAAATAAACAACCCACATTACAATACATACACGAAACACCTTCAAGTATACTAAGTACTTGTAGTCTGTTTCCTATCATTCCATAGACCCTAAAAAGAGTCAAAAAACATTTTTCTTGGTGGGTTTTAATACCCACTTTTAACCGTTTTACAGGTTACGGCGAGGAAGACTATTTCTCGTTTTGGAGGAGCCAAATATATATTATCTTTAACGTTCCCTACTTCCTCTTTCTTCTGCTCTATGAAGAGTTATACTACCACCCTTCTCTTCTCTTCCTCCTCTAAAGCGAGGAGAAAAAAGGAGGGGGAGACGAAGAGGAGAGAAAAAAAAATATATATTTTTTTGTCTGTATCACATTCTTTGATCCCTTTATTTCATTTATTTTACTACTCTTATCCATTTATATATA